CTACAAACATCAGTGTCAAACTTAAAAAGGAAGCAGAAGGAAACAACAAAGTAGGACTGAGTAGGATGACAGATTTTCCATGATTAAAATGTAACAAACAAGATCCTACTGTATCAAAAATTATCTCTCAGCATTTTTTTCAATTCAATCCAGAAGAAGCATAAGTAAAAGCCAAAATCAAACCTGTTATAAAGACATCTGCATTCACTTTACTTGCCCAGCCACATCTCACATAGTCAGAATGTTCACTGTACGAGGTGATTTCTGTGGCGCTCGAAATATCCCACAGATTTGACAAATAATCATCACCACCAGAAAATATTCGGTATTTATCAGACAGGAAGCCCACTACATGAACTGGCCTAGAAAACAAAGTCCACAATATCCAAAGTTACAACATAGCCATGTTCCAAGAAGAGTTAGTCTGTATGAAGAGTTTATAAAACCACCCTAACTTAAAAGTGCAAAGTGTTTACCCTCAGAAGACACAAAGCCTCACCCTAGAAGTTAAAGCACTTTAGTCTTCATACTTCAGGCAGAAAATGGTCACACTGACAGATGGTTACCTGAGCACTGATGCCTTAAATGTTTTACAAGCCTACTAGATGCTCATTCCAAAGCTCCTAATTCTGCCTTTATTACTTAGAGGTCTGTGTGCTGCACTGTCCCTTAGAAAACATCAGAACTCCTAACTCCTTCCCCACCCCAGCCCCACTCTGTCATCATGCATTTTTTCTGTTTTGGTTTGGTTTTGTAAGGAATTCCTGCTCTTCCTGGCATATTTCTTCATTCTTTTGTTTAGACAACTTTTAGAACTCTTTTCCAAATAGCATCAAATAAAAAGTGCTTATCAGTGCCAGGCAGTTATAGAACTGTATCTACACAATATGTTTCTGAAACAGAAAGTGCATTTACTCTTCTATGTACTCAATTCATATCTGGAATTTAAAACCTCGCTCGATTTTGAATTTAAAAATCAACTTTGCAGTAAGATCTAAATAAGACAGCTGCAAGCAACATAGATCAGTATTACTCAGGTTTACAGCAACATGCAAACCAGACACATAAATATAATACAATATAAATAATCACAGAATTTTAGGGGACGGAATGGACCTGACAGATCATCTAGTCCCAACCCTCTGCCCTGGGCAGGGACACTTCCCACCAGAGCAGGTTGCTCAAGGCTTTATCCAGCCTGGCTGTGAACACTGCCAGGGTTGGGGCAGCCACAGCCTCCCTGGGCAACCTGTGCCAGGGTCTCACCACCCTCACAGGAAAGACTTCTCCCTAAGACCTAACTTAAACTTCCCCTCTTGCAATTTGTACCCATTGTCCCTTGTCTTGTCACTGCAGTTCCTAACACAGAGTCCTTCTCCAGCTTCCCTATGGCCCCTTTAGATACTGGAAGGCTGCTATGAGGTCTCCACACAATCTTCTCTTCTTCAGGCTGAACAACCCCAACTCCCTCAGCCTGTCCTCACAGGGGAGATGCTCCAGTCCTTTTATCACCTTCATGGCCTCCTCTGGATTTGCTCCAACAGTTCCATGTCCTTCTTACATTGAGGGCACCAGAATAGCATGCAGTGTATAATACATAGTGGTGAAGCCTTAGCACAGGTTGCCCTGTGAAGCTGTGAATTCCCCATCCCTGAAAGTGTTCAAGGCCAGGCTGGATGGAGGTCTGAGCAACCTGGTCTAGTGGCAGGGGGGTTGGAACGAGGTGATCTATACGGTCCCTTCCAGCCCAAACCATTCTGTGAGTCTATGACATGCAAATACAGAAAAGAAGGTTGTGCACAGAAGGAAATCACCACTGCTGTCTTACTTAGTGTGACCATCAAACTGCCTCAGTGGTGCCTTCCCACTGATGTCAAAGAGGTGAATGCTGCTCTCCTCGCTGCCAGCCACAAGCAGCTGACCATCCTCTCTGTACGTGGCACCGTACGCAGCATCTCTGAAGCGAGAAAACGTTTTGATGGGTTCCTGGGAGTAACGACCATAAATGTGGATCTGGCAAAAGAAGAAAGCATTAAGATTGCTCATACAACACCAGCTTACGGAGAAGCACATAAAAACCCTCAGAAAAGCCACTCACCCTTGAGGAGGCTGTGACAGCATAGTTGTACGGTAGGACTGGGGAAAAGTCAATTTTATTTACTGCGCCGAATTCCTTGATCTGCACAGGAGTCTGAAATAAAGGCGGGAAGGATCGCTGAGTGCACAGAAGCACACCATCAAACATGAAAACAGCAAAATAAAGCCTACTGTTCCTCCTCCTTTTCCTACAGAGAGCCCCACTCAGTACCAAAACACAACGATACTGAGTTCTGCTTCTGCCAAGCCACTCCAATTCACTCCAACTAACCCCCCCACGCTGACGTATTCTCAGGAAAAAACTCACTCACACGTGTTTAAAAAAATACTTTGATCAGCTGCAAGAAAGCAGCGGGGAAAAAAAAAAACTAAATCCTGGGGCCGCAGCTTCCCCCGCTTGGCCCAATCTGGTCCCAAGTTTCCTAGAAGCCGCGCTCGGGGCAGTGCCCCAGTCGCCCGCACCGCCTCCTACCTTGTAGCCGCGCCAGTACACCGTGTCCTGCGTGATCCTCTCGCCGAGCTTCGGGCACACCGGAACCA